ATAGCTAAAACTCCAGGTGGTTAAAATGAATCACACAAAACAAGGGAGCACCTTTCTCCGATACCAATTGAAAGTGCTAGTTATCGACTAGAGGGGGGTGAATAGGCGATTTTTACGAAAAATTTCAAAACATGAGGTCTTTGAAGATAGACAATCAAACGAAACCTATATGATATGTAGCGGAAGATAAACTACTCTAAACAGACCATAGTCAAGTAAGCAATAGTGTTGAAAGCACGATGACTAATAGCAGCTAGGTAGTACAGATCGGAACGGAAGACAGTATGAAGCCAAATAGGTAATATTCTTTGCATAGTGAAGTCAAACAGATCAGGCAAACAAGCAATGACTTCACAAAGACAAACTAAAATGTAAAGGAGGTGGGGGATAAAACCAGTAGCTTCGTGAAGACGAGGATTTGGTAGACCAGTTCCAGTTGTTGTGACAATTGTACGTCTGGTTAGGGATGCTGAGATTGAACTCAAAAGACCATGTGTTCACCTTATTCCCCTTGAGCTAAGGACACCTAGTCCTCGCTCAATCACTCTGGTAAGTCTTCAAGGTAGACTTCCAAACCTTCATAGACTCTGTTCACCGGCGATCCACAATGACTCTTGGATCCTCAAAACGTTGGGCCTAACCGGCTGGAGGATACACAGTCCTCAAGTGTAACAAGTCTTCAGGTCACGTGGACAGAAAGACTTTAGTGATGCCTAACACTCTTTGGCTCTGGGTGTTTTGGGATTTGTCCTCGCAAGGATTGCTCTCTCAAAGGCTTCGGAGGTGGGTTTCTCTCGAACGACAAAAGCCGTGCACTAACTCTGAGCAGCCAGCAATTTATGGTGTAGGGGTGGGCTATTTATAGCGAGGAGGCAACCCGACCTGATATGTCTGAAATGACCCTGGGTCACTAAGGAACCGACACATGTCAAACGGTCGGATTTCAAACTCACGCGGCAGCTTGGCTTGGGCTATGAGCAAGGCTGACCCATCCAACTCTGGATAATATTTGCTCTCATTGTCTTCACTCAAAGATATAAGATTTGGGTTGAGCATCACGTCAGTCTTCTGACTTTGTTCACTTGGACCCCACTTAACAGTTTGGTGGTTCTTATGACTCAATAAAGAAGAAAAGGAAACTATGAAAGAAATTATGTCTTCGCACTCCATGGTCCTTAAGTGAATATCTTCACACGTCATTATCTTCAACGTGAATGTCTTCACAAACCACCATTGTCTTCAATGTCTTCATACATTTTTAGGGGTCATCTCTGGTAAGTAAACCGAATCAATGAGGGACTACTACCTGTGTTATCCTGCAATTCTCACAAACACATTAGTCCCTCAACCATGTTTGTCGTCAATACTTCAAAACCAACTAGGGGTGGCACTAGATGCACTTACATTGGCACATGAAAAATACCAAAACACCCACATTTTATGTCACACATAAAGGGCATAAAAGGATGGCAAGTGGAGCCCCATGGGGGAGCTCCACCATTGGCCGTCCCACACCTTGTGGGCCCCCCAAAAAGGGTTCCCACCCTTCCATGTCATCCCTAGATCTTTTGCTAAGACCCCCTTTAGTGACTATCCATAAAATTCAACCAATCAATGCTTTTCACTATTCACGAAAACATTTTTCTGCGACCGCTAAATCTGAAACTTTTTTTGTAGGCCTATAACATTTCTAGTACCCACTAAAATAAATTTGGACGTGTTCTGAAACTTTTTCAGATCAATGATTTTCATCAGCGGAAAGTAACTAAGACATTTCCGGCTGCTCCAGAAAATTTCCTGTTTTTTCTCCTGAAAAATTCCATAAGTCCCTAGAACAATTCTGGCACTTACAAAAAATTCCAGGCACATGCCAAAAACCTTTTTGGCTTAATGGTTTACTCCGAAACAACTTTTTGGTTTTACCGAAACTTTTTCGGTGTTCTCTCCAGAACTTTTTCATTGTCTCCGAACTTTTCCGGTGACTTTCTCTCAGACTCCCTGTCTAGTATTCACAGATAGATGGCCCTTAAGCGTGTGACCTTGTAGGTTTGGTGGAGTATAAACATGACCAGAACACTTTTCGATCAATGATCAATAGTCGAACCGTGGACACCCATATTGATCCCTACACCCATAGTGAACCTGTAGTTGTCGTGTGCTATTTGTGTTGCTTCACGATATGTTACAAACACCCAAGGTGAGACTTAGCGGCATCCCCGTGAATCAACTCTTGTCCACTATGCCAGTTACCTCGTTATCGGGTTTGTTCTCTTATCTCGTTTCCGTGTTCCGACATCCCCGTGATCAAATCACATTGTGTTTGGCCAGACGATGATGGATACCGTAACACCGAGAGGGCCCTAAGAATATCTCTCAATCGTCGGAGGAGCAAATCTCAATCTTGAGCTATCTCGTTCCTTGTCATACCTTTCCGTGAACCCGTAAGCCACCGTAATAGCCACCCAGTTACAGATGGCGTTTAACAAACCCCAAAGTTCATGAAGCAAGAATGAAGGAACTCGACACTCTCATGGTCTAAGGAATTATGCAAACATTAACTTTCTTTGTGTTATTAACCATTTACTTGTGACGAATTTATCTCATAGCATAACATCAATTCGAGTCAATTCAACACACGTGTTCTCCTAACATTGTGCCCTCAAAATTGTCGGCGTAGTCATTCCCATGATCAGGAAAACAGGATCATCATGCAATACTTGAGCTAGTCTTAGAGGCATGACTAGGAATACATTTTACCGTTTATTATACCACATGTGCATATGAGTTTCACTCCGAGCCTCGTGGATATTGCAGACTCGGGAATCATTGCAATTATAGCATGGAACATAAACATCCATTACAAACTTGGAGATACAAAATAACTGTTATTACTGCCTCTAGGGCATATCTCCTACTGAGACATGTACTCTAGTAGACAACTTGGGCAAGAAGCCATGTAACCCGACTTGGATCCATGTAACCCTACCCCTCATCCACCTATATAACCGGAGGTAGGGGCCTTCCAATTCAGCACCCAATTAGTCATACGAGTCAAACACAACCGACACAAGCATACATGCAGAATGTAGGGTATTACCTCACCACGAGGGCCTGAACTTGGTAAATCCTTCTCTCATGTGTACCCTATTCTGATCCTCTATGAGTGCTCTGCCCAAGGAGCAACTCTATGCAGGGATCTGCTAGTTTTGATACCGTCAGTTAGTCATTAGTGGCAGTATCGAAGAGATTCTCTCGAAAATTCCAGATTATTCGGTTTGAACAATGGTGGAATGAGTACAAAAATATCACTCATCATACGCGACTAACTTAGTTGTGTGAAACTCTGGTTTAACCAAAAAGTAATGGTTTTGGGCGGAGACTATGAATGTAGTAGAGGGTTAATATTTTAAGAGTTGCAAACTATCCAGAAACCAAACTTTGGCTCATGGCACGGTGAGAAGAGCAACATAGTAACCTCAGAGCGGTAAGAGTGCGGTTATAGAATTTAATTCAAGGACAGGACGAACCATAAGTGCAACGACGAGCGGCACAACTGTCGATGGAGCGGGCGCAACCAACGTGTCTGGAGTAGCAGGTGGCGCCCCCGCGGACACGTTGGGCAGGGCAGCGGCAGCCAAGGGTCGACCAACAGTGGCCGGCATCATGCATGCAAGGTTGAGGACGAGCGATCGGATGGCGTTACGGCACCAATGACCGAGGCGTAGAAGAACAGCGTAGCGAGAGACGAGCACACAATGATGCAGGCACATGTGTTTGGCCGACGTGGTGTTGAACAACCACACTGAGAAGATGTGACAAACCGCCAACTTTTTGCCCGATCGCCGAATTGTGTTTGAAGCAAGGCAGCCACCAGGAAGGTGTCTAGACGGAGGAAACACAAATGAAAGAACACGATGTTTGAGCATGGGCATCCACTGCCCAGGCGTGGGGGTGACACCATGGACCGCTTGCCTGCCACAGAGCAGCTTGAATGCGATCAACAATGTCGACCGTTGGGACAACCGGCTTGGAGACCATCATATGAACAAGATGAGGTGTGAGGTGGCAGCAGTAGGGGTGGAGCGGTTGATTTCAGAGCGCAGACAGCGACAGCAGCGAGATGACAAGCAAAGAAAGAGATGTGAATCCGCTCCGAGGCAATCTCAAGCTCGTGAAGGATGGCGGTGGCAACCAGAGGAGAATACAGTGAATCGAAAGGTGAACTGAGAGAGCTACAAAGGCATGAACATGTCCAACTCACCACCAAGACATGACTAGAGAAAGCGAGCAAGCATTAGACGGTCAATGCCCATGGTGGCGAACTCAACAAAGGCAACAAGGTGAATCCCGTTATCACTGTGACGGAAGAGGGACATGGGTTGTGAGAAGGCGAGCCAACCATGAGTTTGAAAATCGTAGCCCATTATCGTCACCTGCCGCGAGCTGCGCGCCGCGGATGGCACCCTGGACCGAAGAGTGATCACGGAGGGGAGGCGAGGTGAGATGAAGGTGGTTGTGGAATGGGTGGGTACCGTCGTAGGAGGAATGGCAGCGGGTGGGGGTGGTAGGAGGGAAGGGAAGGGAGGGAAGGTGGAGGATCCATCAAGCTTGGCAAAAACCAACTTTGAACGGTTTTCTGCAGCCCATTTCCATCAGTTCAATATACATCCACAAAAAGATGCACCCGCGGCATTGACAAGAGATTAAAAAAGAACTTATATAAAATTAAAGAAGACCAAGGCAAGAACAATAGCGGCAGTCCTGGTTGTTAAGGCATCGTACAACATAACAAATGCAGACCAGTGCAAAGGAAAAAAAAAACAGTATTAACCACAACAGTAAAATTTCACAGACTGTAGGAGCTGTTGTTGCCATGGTACGGAAAGATGCTTTCCAGAACAACCCGCAGGGTATGTAGAAGGGACAATTTGGACCAAAATGGAAACAAGGCCGGGGAACTAGTGAGAAGAAGAAAATGGCAATAATAATACAAACAATGACTATGAAGGCATCTCGGCTAGGCGAACTGTGCGTGGAAGTAAAAACTCAGCAAAGATGGGAAAATGTGATGATGGATAAACACCATCTATATTGTCATTTATGACTTCGCATAGTGCAGGAACCAGTGGGCGTCCTCTAAACAGTATCCAGTCAATATGCAAGTCCTGAGTTTGTCTGTCCCAGCAGAGACAAAGAGCTCTGAATACTAATTTTAGGAATTCTACCGCACCTTGTTTTTCCCCTGCATCACAGCAATCTTCCGTGTAAGATATGTAGAAATAATACGGCTACTTGAGAAGAGAAAATATTAGCAGGTGTAAACTGCAACAGAAACCAACCAGGTTACTGTTTATAATAAATTGATCTCGATATATTCACCCACTGAAAAAGTAGGTGATGCAGAAAACCCATCATTGCACAGATAAAATGTATGCATAGTAGTGAGAGATGTTGCTTTTGGAAATATAGCTAAATGTTCTATACTTCTATCTACAATATAATGATACAAATATATAAACTTCAAACAGCACATCCCTTTTATCTTTTCAATTTCTTAATTATAAGATAAGGGAATGCCAATTTTCTCTTGAAATAATCAGTTGAGCTGTTTGGCTTAAAAAACTTAAGCAAATGAGTAAGTTTGGTTATATTTACTTATATTGTAGCAAGATTGCCTTTCATACTGAAGGGGATGTTTTTTATCCTTTGTTTAGCAAGTAAACCAAGACACTATGACAACAACTATATTTTCTTCCTAGATATGGGACTGGAAAAGGAGGCATCTGAGCGAAGTAAAAGGGGTACCTTTAAATCCATGATATGTGTGTATCAGTGAAACATTTTTGCGCACACGAGCATTTGGCCAAGCATCTCTCATATCACCCACAACACCATGTTCCCTGTAATCAAAATCATATGGAATTATGTCAATCAACGTAGCAAGGGAGTCATCTAAAAAATAGGAAGGGCTGGACTCAAAACATAAAAGACGCATACTCAAGGAACTATGATCTTATTCATGATTGGGGGCTCTGTCTATACAAATACCAATCATAATAAAGTGGTTAGGTCCATTTCTCGACAGAGGCAATTAAGCATTTCGAAATTACACTAAGGCCCAATCAAACCCAAATACCACTCATCCCTAACCTGATCTGCAATTAGTATTATCTTGCTCACTGTGGAACGACTATGGGGTGAACACATTTACAAGAGCTGCCTTTGCATAGAAAAACATGGACATATCACACATACGTCTAAGATTATGCATTTGATATGGGCTTGCAAAAAGAGATGGTTCTGCATATGTACTTTGTTAAACGAATTTTAGCTAACGTCGCCAAACTTTGCCCCTGGTATGGTCAGTATATTTACTTTGTATCTTTCTTTTCGAGTAGAATACTGATGAACTTGCTTAAGAGCAAAGTGTACTCACCATTCACAAGCAATTATTTCTTTGTGGAAAAACAGAGAAAATATGATATGTGACTTGGTAGTTGCAAGATTCAGGTCTACCATCAATTTTTGCCTCTTCGCTAACATGTTCATCGAAAGATTGAACATTGGGGACATCTCTTGACAATGTTGATGATCAGTGTTATGGGGTTTCCGAAATATATAATATGGTTATTTTTTATTCTCTCTACTTTAAAGTTGACTGTTTTCTTTAAGTCTAAGCTAATTATTGTGACTACTGGATTGTACGAGTTATGTATTTTATTAATTCTGTTGGAACATATGGGAACATGATTTTTAGAAGAAAAAAATACACTTTCGGGATTTCTTAAATACTTGCAGATACTGAAATTTTGGAAATCAAACTTTTTAAAACGTTGCGACTTCATCATATATTAATAACCAAATGTATAGTAGTTTCTGACACCTAAACTCAAACTTTATTTCTGAAATTTGAATGTACAATATCTTTAACTACCTAGGTTACAGAAAAGGTTCAAATCTTTTAAAAATGTTGTTAATGGTACTTTTGCTATTTCTGAAAATATATCATAGATGATCATGCACAACATATACGTACAACAAACAGAATCGACACAAGATCCAATACAGCACAGCTATCCAATAAGATGTACTCGGCCTAATACATAATTTGAGATTTACTTCAACCATCGCTCAGACCAATAATATATACTGTGTGTCTTACAAAAAAAATTACCTTCAAATACGTATTTGGAAGGAGTTTCCAGTGATATAATTTCTATAGCATACATCTAATATATTATTGATCTTATAGATTGTCAAAGTAAATCTTGGAACACGTATTAGGCCTTATATATCCGGATGGAGGAAGTACTCCAAAAGAACATCATGCCTATCACATCAACACAATATGTAAAGCCATATCAGCAGTTTTATTACATGGCAGATCAGGTATTTTGAACTTTTATCTTACCAAAATGCTAGAAAGAGTCTTCTAAGAAAATTGTAAAGGTATATGTTATCACATATTATTTTATATTAACATAAAAGGTAGGTTTTTACCTGACAACCATAAAACTGGAATAAGGAGTCGACATTTGTACAAATAATATTTCTATGTGAACTAGCCATGTTAATCTCAACAAAATTATCATCCTCCAACAAGTTATACCTAGATCTGCCGAGCAAAAAACGTCCCGTCATAGATTCCTTTTGTGTGTTGAAGCCCCCACAATAGATCACAGGCAAGTTGGGTGGCAAAGAAGCTATATGCTGCCACGTAAGCAAAGCACTTCGTCTACGAGCACGAGGGCTATCTTCATCAAGATTTGTATTTACAATCTGGAAACTGAACCCAGGTTGTTCTACTCTTTTGAGTTGAAACGTGTGTACATCATGTCAGTTAAGGCACAAATTTCTTCATGTTCCAATAAATTCCAGTCAAGAGACTAGGAGATGATAGAATAATATAATGACAAAAGTATCATGCAAAAGGATATTGCCCATGTAGCAATGCATGGTGCAGTAGCTCCCCATGAAATGCTTCCTGGCACTGATGGAGATTCTGATAACCAGAAGGTGCCACCTTCTGTAAGCTCCACCTTCATCAAATTCATGGTAGTTCGACTCATATACGAAAAGACATTATTCATTTCTAGCAGAATAGTATCATGTCAAGGAAAGAAAAACCTTCTCCTTTTCGTAGAATATTGTGCAATATTCATCAGTGGTGTCCTGTGAACCTTTTCTTGAAATGCCAAATTGCTCATAACCTGGATCAGTGCAACAGCTTGGTAATTCGGCCTCATACATCCTAGATTGCAGATAAACAGACAACACAGCATTGTGCTAGAAAAAGAATAGGTAGCTCTCAGGCCTTTTAGTTAATAGCTAAATTTGGTTCATCTTGGTCAAAGAAAAATGTTTTTCCCTAAAGGCACAGGAAAAGTATATAAGCCCAACAGAAATGACAGATGCGAAGAAGAATGCACCACCGCAAGCTCAGGACCGTCGCCGACGGATTACAGGCCAACCGATGGGCACGGGACATACACGGCATGATTGGCATCCATAAGATCGGGCAATACTTACAGCTCTGGCACGCAATCAGCCACACGAACCTCTCCGCCGAGCCAGACCGCCTCTCCTGGAAGTGGAACCCCCGCGGCGTCTACTCTGCCAAATCAGCCTACATCGCCACCTTCAATGGCTCCACGGGCTGCGACGCATGGAAGCTCACCTGGAAGAACTGGGCGCCCCCGCGCGTCCGATTCTTTCACTGGCTCGCCCACCTGGACTGATATTGGACGGCCGACTGCCTCGCCCGCCGCGGCCTGCAACACCCCGCACGATGTCCCCTCCGCGACCAGGCCCCCGAGACCATGCACCACCTCATCCTAGCTTGCCCCTTCGCCCGGCGGATCTGGTACGAGGTGCTGCACTGGCTCCGACTCTCCTGCGCCCTGCCCGACAGAGAGACTTCTCTCAACGACTGGTGGCACACGGCGCGGCAGCACACCCCAAAGCCCATGCGCAAGGGCCTCGCCTCCGCGACCCTCCTCGTCCCATGGATGATCTGGAAGCACCGTAACGATTGCGTCTTCAATAGAGGACGGCCCTCAGCGACCGATCTGCTCACGAAGATCAAGGACGAGGCCGCCCTCTGGGCCAGAGCCGGCGCCCTAGGGCTCCGTGCCATCGTACCGCAAACATGGGACGTGCACTGATATGCCTCTGGGCACTGTAATTCCCTCCTAGGAGGATTGTAACTGAAACTCTCTTTCTTTCCAAAGCAATGAAATGCAAGCTCTCTTGCGTTTTCTCGAAAAAAAATCCCATGGTGATCAATCAAATTAAGAATATAATATATTTGACAATCAGTGCTTCTCAGTTGTTTCATTTTAGGCCAATCGTATCATCAAAATATAACACACAGAACCATATAAGTTTTAGAAAGTGCAATATATACTTCATAAACTCATAGTCATGTAACGGCCACATGTGGCCCTAGGCTCTAACATAAAGGAAATAACACCAGCATTTATTTTTCTGAATCAGAATATAATTGAACTATTCTCGCGTGCAGTTGTAGAAAGGAGATAGAGATACTATCTTTATACTTCTCATATGCAGATAACAAGGGCCTGTTATGTAGTACAAGTGTACAACACAAATGAAAAGGGGAGTATACAGATTTGATCCAAGAATTGCTTGGAAGTATGCCTCAAGTGGTTTGACAATGGCTAGCTTATACAAAGCAATCATTCGTAGACCATGAATCCTAGGGCTTAGGGGTGATTACGGCAAGATGAGGTGTCATGAAATTAATGATGACATTGCTAAGTTGTGTTGATAACAAAACACTGGCTACATCCCCTGTGGGTCTATAGCTTGAAGTTCCCCCGATGCCATAGCAGAATCAAGAGACCTACTGGGGATAAGTTCTCCATTCTGATATCCATCGATTTCACAATTGCAAAGGTTTTAGAAGGTACCTATCTACTTGTTGGTCAAGCAGATAGATTTATATATATGCTAGAATCCTGGGATATTATTTTTTTCAAACAAAAGAAGGTGCGCAGAAATTTTTACTATACCACACTGTAAAAGGACAAGTATACTCTCAATTTTCCCAATATATTTCCTTTTTATTTTTAGCAATCAGCACGCAACAGCATATCAAATGCAGCAGTGTAACTGGCCACAAGCTGTGGTGGCAGGAGTAAAGTAACCCAGCAACAGGGACAACAGTACTAGTTAGGAAAAACAAATTAGTTCCTATTCAGTTCAATGAATCTGGTCTAACGCTCGTTCCTTGTCCAGTTGTCTCTAATATACTCCTGTGGCTGATGGTATTTGGGCCAGGGTGGTGGCACCGATGACCTCAGAGATCTCCACAAGTGCTAGTCGTCGCTCGCATGACCGTTCGTGGCAGATGACTTTGGAGGACAATGCCGAGTTGTATCATGGCTCCTTCTCTGCTCCACCTGCACCTGCCAAGGTGCCTGCCGGGACGGCCCTCGTACTCGACCCCCCGACGCACTCGCTGCCGCTTTGGTCAGAGTCTTCCTCATGGTCGTCGCCTCGGAGCCAGGTGCTTGCTGCACCCCTGACGCCCGTGCACTGTTCCCCACCGACTGCCATCGTGGTTGCATCTGCGTCGCAGGCGGACAGGCGGTTGTCGAATTTGCCTACAACTCCGCGGCCAGTGGCAGCGCCTGGGTGTGCTGTTGTACATTCTGACGCCACCTTTCCCTGATCCGTTGGTGCCAAGTTCGCTGCAGGCCGTCGGTGCGCGTAAAGCATCGCCGCAGGTTCCTACGGTGACCACGCCAGCTGTGTCAGCCGGTGCGCTGGCAACGCTGCAAGGCGCTGCAAGGCGTCAATGACTGCCAACGCCTGGTCGTCAAGACCAACACAGACGCATCGCGCCATCGCTGGGCGCGGCCTTGCTGGTTCCTCGGGGCACGAGCTCCTGAGGACTGTTCGGTGTCTTCAGCTGGGCGTGGCCTTGCCCATGGTGTCCGAGGCCACCCCTAATTGTGGGTGTGCACGTTGCACCACATCCCACCCGCAGCCCACGGTGCTGCCGCTACCAGGTCATCGTCACCTATGTTGGGACTGGGAGGACCGGCGATACTCCTGTTAGTAGCCAGGAGTTGGCTGTTGGCCATCCTCTACTGCAGCTGTCTGCGCCGAGGGGTACACTGCAGGTAGCAACTACCTCCTCACCGTCCAACACGGAGGTTGCTGCATTTGGTGGCATCCCCTACCCCACATCCATCCACCGTCACTTCAGTACTAGGATTCGAGAGAAGCCTGACCCCAACGACTTGCAGACGGATCAAGCTATGTGCGCCGCCAAGCTTCGGGACATTGAGACTAATTCAGTTATGCTTTACAATAAGAAGTTTTCGGTTCTTTACTTCTCAGAAGTTGAATTCAGAAAGCTTCGAGACTAGGGATCTCCTTATGTAATAAGGCATGAGGTGGCTTCATCAATCAATGAGTTGTTGGACTCACAGATCGATAGGGCACTGGTAATGTTACAAAAAATGGCCGCTGATACTCCCGTCGCGGATGATGGCCCTCATGGGCTCTCAATATTGTATATTCAAGACATGTGTGAGGACCTGAATCCTGAAGAGGAAAGGGTACTTGAAAATTATATGGATATTCCTCGTATTCCTGTAAAGGCCACTTAAGGCACACTAGAAAGCAATACGATATTTCTTTTGTGCAACGTAGCACGCAAAACAAATTCAAAAATAGGCTTCACGACCAATGAGATGAATTTTCTAGAATAGCAGAGGTTTTCATGACTTGGCTAAAAGACAAATTCTAACTGAGATTCCTAGAGGATAAAACTAGGACTCCATCGTTCTCATGGAGACTCGAGATACGAACTTCTTGACACGTTTTTTGAGCTGCATATGTGGTGGTCTTGGTTATGCATGATATGCCTGCCTCCGAGAGGAAGGTCAGGTGGTATTTTGCCAGGTGTGAATTGTTAAGCTGCATGCACTAGCCAACGCAACCAAAAGTCTGAATTGATGGAAAGGGCTAGGCAGTTCACATATACACTTCAACACCACCTCTCACGTGTGACGCGGGAAGTCAACACGTGAATAGACTTAGAGGTATGGCTCAAGAGGCTTATACGTGGACATAGAGCGGGGCAGCAACAATTTTTGAATAAATCGCAAAAGCCAGGACTTGAACTCAAGACCTTAGGCCCTGATACCATGGTAAGCTTCATGCACTAGCCAACGCAACCAAAAGTCCAAAATGATGGGAAGGGCAAGGCAATCCACATGTACACTTCAACACCCCCTCTCACGTGTAACGCGGGAAGTCAACATGTTAATAGACTTAGAGGTATGGCTCAAGAGGCCTATATGTGGACATGGATGCGGCAGCAGGAATTTTTGGATAAATTGCAAAAGCCAGGACTTGAACTCAAGATCTTAGGCTCTGATACCATGTTAAGCTTCATGCACTAGCCAATGCAACCAAAAGTCCAAATTGATGGAAAGGGCTAGGCAATCCACATATACACTTCAAAAATGAATTTGTTTTTGAGGTCTGTCACCATCTTCTTTGGGCTCAGCAGTGCAACGATGTTGGAGAGTGGGCCATGTTGCGCCTACTTTGACGACCAGCGGCATCTGTTCCAGGATATACTCGTGGCATGCTTGCTCCTAGGTTCTATGGACAGTACTAAGTCCTCGAACACAGTGGATTTGTGGCCTACAAATTGGATCTTATGGACGGAGCTCGAATTCTTGATGTCTACCATCTTAGCTGGTTGAAGAAATTCCATGGATGCCACCTAGTGCTGCTCCCTCTCTACCTTTTATAGAAAAGGGTAAGGTAGCTCTTCATAGTCTTCGACGAGGCATGAGCCATGTTCTGATTCTGTGGGCAGGTTCATCAGAGGAAGAGACTTCCTAGGAACGTTTGGCGGAGTTTAAAGCTCACTTCCTTGGTTTTCTTCTCGAGGACGAGCTGCTTGACGAGGAGAGGAATGATGTTAGGGATCTCCAATGGTCTTCATCAAACAGACTCCCCCAAATGTCCACGGACACATCCGGGCATCCAACCAGGCGAACGCCATCCAATGCTATCCCTAAAAAATGCATATTTTTACTACCAAGCCATGCAACATTGCATATTTTCACATAGCAAAATACATTGATAGTTCATACAAATAAACCTAAATCTACTCATCAGCGTGTAAGGTGAGAATGATGACCCCCGTGCAAGACCGTTGACCTCGTCAATCGTTGGTGGCTGGCGCGGATCCGCCTTTGTGGACACGTGTGCCGCTTTGGCATCGTCGTCGTATTGCCGCTCCTTGTCTTTGTTGTCGCCGATGATGACCTCACCGTGATTGCGCTCGAACCCTACAAACGCTCTGCACTGACCCCATACCACGTGGTTCTCCGCAACAATCTCCAGGTCCATCAAGGGTGCGGTCACGGCGACGACATCTGCAATCTCCGCATCGAGTTGCTCCATGATGAGGACCCGAACCTGGGTAAACACTTCGTGTGTGATCCCCTCTGGTACCTCTGGTCTCGCACTACACCCTATCAGGACTACTGCCAGTTCCTGGTATCGTCAATGCACTCCAGGGCTTTTCCTCCTCATCCTCGCCCGAGCTCGAAGGAAGGCTAGCCACAATGTGGGTTGCGGGTCAGGCCTCAGCGGCCCGCATCTCCGCCGAGAACTCCACGAGGTGCTGTGGCATGAGCTGCGTGTAGCACGTTATCTTCGTCAACACCATGGCGACGATGGATGCGGATGATGAGCTAGGGTGCTCCTTGCGGAGGCGAAGGGTTGGGAAAATTGGAAGAATGGGCTCGAGATAGGGTTTGGGGGGTTGCCAGCCAGCCTTCAATAGCCAGGGTAGGCTCCTCAGGCAGCTTGTCGGCTACCCGTCCATGAATGCAGTAGGCAGAGCGGTGAAGCTTCAATGTGCGAGGCAAAGCGGGTCAAAGACTACAGGAGACAACTCAGATTTTGGGTGGGACCAGGGTGTCGGAGTTTGACATGGAGGATGTCCGGACTCCACATGAGCCCCCCCCCCTGATTTGGGGCCAGACTGGGGGATTTCGGATGCCCGGACCGGTCCGGTCCAATTTTGGTCGGCTGCTTTGGAGGCCTAAAAGTGTTCGGACTGTCTGGTCCAAGCATATAGGGGAGGTTTGGGCGTCCGCGTTGGAGATGCCTTGCGTGGGGGCAATCCTATTTACTTCCATGCACTATTGATTTGCTGATGGAAAGAAGTCAATTCGTAGTAGGATATGATTCCTTTAGGAAGAGAAATAGATGTAGGACTTTCCATAATGTAAGGAGAGGTGGTCTATACGGGAAACTTGATCAATCAATTATGTCAAGTCCTTTCCCCCAAGCTCTTTTTCTTAGAAACACGAGACTGAGCCGGCAGATCTTAAGATTGACGAAGTCTCCACAGGCACCTCGTAGTCGACAGGCACACGTCATACCACTAAGAGAATAGCGTCAGAAAGCCTAAATAATTCTAGGAAATATGCAAGCACCCGTGTCAAGTCTAGGACTTGAACCCGGGTGCGCTAGTTCCACCAAAAGGAACCTAACCATCTAAGCTAGGCCTAGTTCGCCCCCAAGCTCTTCTCTTCCTCCACCATTATCCCTCGACACAGGTAAGACGCCTACCCAGAGGACCTTCATCGGCCCTCGGTCACCTCCAAGCCAAGGCTACGCCCTCCAACCCCAGGACTCTAACAAAAACTTTCTCCAATTACAAAATGACACGCATTTGGCTGCACGATTCGGGCAAGAAGATGTTGCTTTGGGTAACTAGGATATTAGCAAATAGATGATAATACCAGGCAGCTTGAAAAATTCATTCTTTATAATGAAGAATATTGATGAATTCAACAGAGCGAAGAACATTTCCACCAGTTTGCAGCAAAGCCTAAGAAGGTGATATTTGAGACTACCCTCGATCGTACACTCAAAGTACAACGGTTATCCATTATAAAGTAATAGCATGCAAGGAG